GATCAAACTATCTTCTGTTGCTTATTTTGGTGTCTGCAACCTTTTCTTATTTTGGTGTCTGCAACCTTTCAAGAACTTATTTATTGTTGTGTTGCAAAACAAGTTGACATTTGAAGAGTAATTATTCCATAAATAATGTGTGCCAAATTTTTAATTCAAAAGTGAGTAACTTTTGTACTGTTAGAAAAATAACAATTTACAGGCGTGCAATTTTTCCTCGGATCAGCTGATTTCTTCGTTTTTTACTTCTCATGAATGCCATTACAAAATGAAAAATACTGTACAAAATGTTGTGTGGTTTGGAGTTACCTCGCTTTTTCTAAATTCCCAGTTGCAAGCCTGAATTTAAGAACATCAATTTTTGTTTCAGGGTGAACTCGTAAATAGCATGGACAGTACATCTAATAACTATATGTCTGTTAGAACATATAATTGGATCAATGAAACTGCATTCACTGTTTGCACTCAGATGCGCGTGTTGGAAGACAACTGGCACAAGGCAGATGCTGAGGTGTATCGTCTGGATGAAGTATTTGATCATTGCAAACAGGTAATTCCTTATTTAATAACTGACAGCAAAGGGGAGGTGATATACATGGCTATTGTCTGTGTGATATGATTGAAGACATCATACTTAAAGGGAAAATACAACATTTGCAAACATCAAAAAATAAAACTACCAAATCATTTTGAAATACCTTGCTGAACTGTTAGTGAATGACAGTGTAAAGCATCCTGTAAAATCATGGCACCTGGTATACTGTCATTTTCAAGAAAAGTGGTATTTTTGTATCAATTTCCAACGCTGATCGGCCGATCAGCGTTGGGAAAAAACTGGCTTTTTTTCAAATACTGGCCCCAATTGACCATTGCACTTGTTTGCAATCGATTACACACCTATGAACGGGTACAAGCCAGCTAGACTGGTTCCCTGACCTTACAATTCCCCAATGTACGTAAATTGCTCTGTTTCTTCTTAAATGGAGTCAGGGAACCAGACTACAGGAAAATTGTTGTTTTTCTTGGTTTTTATAGCATTTTTGAACCAAAAACCTCAAAAAAGTCAGTGTAACTATATTTGCTATATATTTCCAACCCCCAATTCCATCCATTTCTGAAAATTACAGCAAAAGCAAATGATGTATATTCCCTTTAAGAAATTAAAGCAGTCAAAGGAAACTCAAGATATTTACTTTTGTGACTGTGCACTCAGTTTGTATCGGGGTTGAAATAGCTTAAAGGGCCTTTTCAGGCACCTATGCTATATGTCTAATTTATCTTTATATTCAGTCGTCATATTGCCATTTACAAGGGTGTTTGAGACTAGAATTTTTTTGGCTTTAGTCATAAATTGTTGTATCAGTATGTGAAAAAAATCGAAGAAAAAGTCTATGCACAAATGTTTTTCAGTTACCAAAAATGTGGGTTCACAATTTAAACAGAAAACCCTTTATCTGAAGAGTAACAACACAGAAACAGCGCCCTCAGTTGTCAGGAAAGCATGGAATGTTTGAAATGTCCACAAAAGTCGCTTATTATCCTTTGTACTCGCTGCTTTATGTTCATTGGTTTGTTTTATGATATAGTTGATGGAGCAAGTTCCTGTCACAGGTGATGAGCATTCAAGCATGTCTGCATTGAGGCAACTACTCAGCTGAGTTATCTGCCTGAGTCAACACACACACCACCCCTTGCGGACACTGCTTTCATCAGGCATGCAACTTTTCCTTGGATCCGCTGATTTCCTCGTTTCTTACTTCTCAAGAATGCCAGTTTTTGTGTAATGGCATGCCTGATACAAGCTATGCTTTCAAGGTTTTGCCACCTCTAGTGGACTTTATATCTTGTTCAATACTTATATTATTTTTCATTTCTGTCATGAAGAGAGAATAAATGTGTTTGAATTGAATTGTCATGACAGATTGAAAAACACTGTACAAAGTCGTGTGTGGTTTGGAATTTCCTCATTTTTTCTAAATGCCCCGTTGCATGCCTGTTTCATCAAGTTTCCTTTGGCATTTGTTCAGTGCTTGCTTTGTAGTTTTACGCTGTATATATGTTTACATTGTAGCCTGGGGTATGTTAATCACACAGCTCTTTTTTACTACGACATGTTTTCCCTTGGAGCTTCAGTGATACCCATGTCACTGTGCTCTTCTGTGTTATAATATACTGCATTGCGAACGGAGACAATGTCTGCTGAGAGTCCAAATGATTTTCAGATAAAGGAAACATGGTGCTTGCCTGTGATACACACGAGGTGATGGGATTCGGGCTTGACCAACATTGCTATGCTTTATGTACAGTTAGCCAGTGTAGCATGTTTTAATTCATTTGTTTAGTCACAGAGTTGGATTTGAAATGAATTGTTCATTAAGTGATGTAGGTATTCAATAGATGTGTTCAACTGTTCATACAAAAGTTGAAAGTAGATTAGAAGGTAGCCAAACAGTGCTGAACTCAAAGGCCTTGTTTACACTTTTGATAAACTTAATACCTTTGGCATGGTAACAAGTTAAGGAGTTTGTCATGTGTTTTTATTTGTATCAAACACAAGTACACCTTGAAGATGTTCCACTTTAAAGCTGGAGTCCATCATTTGCAGCTATCCAAAAAGTAACTGGCGTAATTCTTGTTGAAAAGCATACTTGGTTGAAAGATAGTAAGGGAACTAAACTCCCTGTGAAATTTTTCTTTCTGGCAAGATGTCATTTTGAAGAAATCAACAAAAGAAGGCCTTTCCAACGGTGCTTCTTAAGACGCACTGATCTGACGAATTATAGCGACCGCACGCGCCTGTGAAGCACAGGCGCGTGCGGTCGCTATAATTCGTCAGATCAGTGCGCGACATCGCGTAGCTGCGATCGGCTCAGCGAGAACGTGTCTCGGACGCTGAATTTAGGCCCAATTCAAAACATGATTCAGCAACTTTTGATTTGAAATCAAATCCTAGAATGCTGTTTTTCTCGGAATATACAGCTGAAGCTGAGCTGAAATTTCATCAGGTTAGTTGTTCAATACCCTTCTTTAGATTTTGAGCACGTTTGTTGCTTCAAATGAACAAAATGCACAAATTACAAATGATGGACTATACCTTTAATGTATTTATTTACAACAAACTGAATTGATTCCTTTATTAACCAGTTTTACCTCTTGTGACAATCAGTTTGCAGTATGTACATTTAGTTGCTCCACTTTGTGTCCATTTATTGATTTCATTTATTAACTGTAGTGCAGCTCTGTATTACGTTCTATAATGAAAGAAGGTTGAAACCACAGCAATTGGAATCTACTTGAGAACAGTACGATCATCCTTACAGAGATTCTTACAATACAGTTCTGTTGGATGGGCACAATACTTTAAATGTGTTTTAAGACTCAATAAGTTGAACTATTCCTTAGAAATAACTAGAGTTTCATATTTTTCTCAGATGAACATTATACTACACATCACATAGAGGTTCAGAATTCAATGTGAGGGAGCAGGGGTTTATTTTAATAACGGAAAATCCATTTTGAATATTAATGATCTGCTGACAAATTGAACAAGGCCTCATGATTAGTATCAATTACTGGCTACAAACTACATGTATGTAAATCTGCACAGGATGGTTGTAGAACATTTTGTCGAAAAAAAAGTTTTGTAAGCTATGTACTCCAGTATTGCTAATAAACCATTGTTCTCTTCAAATGTTCCATGTTTTGAAGTTTATTGTACAGTTGAAACACTTCATAGTCTTTACACTTTTTCTTAATACAAAAGTATAATTGCTTTTTTCATGGTAACGTTGAATATCAAAGTGAAAGTTAGTTATAACATCATAAAATTCAGTTCACATTTTTTTCCTTTAAAGAAAACCTGCCTTTAATAAAGTAGTGTTTGGATTATTGTTCAAACTGAGTTTAAAAACTGATTTTATTCATTTCACGTACCACACTTATGCCACAGACTATGCTCCAACCACAGCCTGTTTAAGGAAATCAGTGCCAATTAACCCATGATCGAGTAAAAACAAACAAACAAACACCCCAACAAACAAACAAACAAACAAACAAACCAACAAACATAATATTCCCTTTAGTTTCCACAGCCACTAGTGTAAGTACAGTATTTCTCACTTAATATGGTCATTAACACGTTCTGTGCACTACAATGTACAATTATACACACTGTTTAGGCCTGGACAACTCCAACAATGTTGGAATGGGATCCCATTCTGTTCAGAACTCCAAATTGCACCAGCTTAACAGGGAATCCTAAATACAATACACAAATGACCAAAGTAGTAAATTGTTGAGAGGTGTCTTAGTTCTACATAATTAGCTTAGCTCTACAGCATTTGCCTCTTTCTAGAAAATTGCACAATCTTTGAACTCTGTCAGGCGCTGGCTGTAATCGACTTTTGGAAAAATAGAATGAGCTTCTACTCAGTGTTGAACCGATAAAGCCAAATGACTGCCAATCCAATAATCCATATTTGTTTGCAGTATTGGTCTGATACTGATACCGATAGTCATATCTCAATACGATTTAATGAAAATAAAAATATAAAGTTTTCAGCAGGTGAATTGGCCTCTGTGGCCTAACAAGTCTGAATGTGCAACTTAGTATGTTCCAAACCCAAAGTTGGCCAGTAAATGACTGAAGATTTAGCAATACATGTATACGTGTATGTATCGATTTCTGTTCTTTGACATACATATGTACATTGTGCATGTGCTCATTACATTCTAGACTGGAATTCAAGCTCATATAGGACCATATTGAATATGGACTACTGACACACAGGCCCAATGTTCATAGTACAGTACATGTATGGTTCCCTACCATTTTCTTTTGCTTTATTGATTAAACACTAGCTACTACTGAGTCGATTCCTCCATAACAGAGCATTTAAGATTGCAGATAGGACTTTTCGAAGCAATTCCTTTTGATTGTGGCACAGTTGCCCAAGCCTAACAATGTCCTTTACATGTTGCTGTCAGTGATTTCGTTGTAGTCAACCATGTCCAAGACCATCCAACATGTCTGCTGGTACCTTGTCTCCAGGATGGAAATGATTCATGTGTTCTTGAAACCTAAACAAGACAAAACATAATATCAATAACATTGAACTGTGATGAATGAAAGAAAGCAATATATGGATTAAGTGTATATGTAGCACAAAAGCAGTTACTTGGACCAATTATTGAAAAGTGGGATTTTGGGCTCCACATTGAAAAGGACATTGAATAAGGTTTGCAATGATGTATAGAATATGGGAATTGGACAAAATCAGAGAAAATAGAAAATTGGTCATTACAGTTTTCCAAATGAACTCCTTATTGTCACGCAGATTGGTGGACAATATGATGGAATTGTTCATGTGATGATAAAAGCATGAAATTTGGCACACAGGCAGAGTATGTCATGGAAAAGATATTTGGCTATAGGGCCATCGCAGATTTGTCCTTTGAAAAAATATCACAGAATAACATTTCTTGAAAATTTCTTGTTATCCTATGATATTTTATACAAAGGACAAATCTGCGATGGCCCTATAGCCAAATATCTTTCCCATGACATACTCTGACTGTGTGCCAAATGTCATGCCTTTATCATCATATGAACAATCTTATCACCAATCTGCTGTACTATTAGAAAATTTACAACTTGACTTCAGTTAGCAAATGTATGTATTATTCTAGCTTCTACCATCTGAATTTCGATAACTGTTTGCCTGTACTATGTATTATAGGCTGCATCTTGAATGACAGCCGTGCGACTCCTGACTGGTTTTGTACTGGATGGAGGGTCGTATATAAGGACTGTGAGATGACATTACTGTCACAATTGATGAAGTACTTTTCTAAATTATACGAGTCAGGGTATTAACAAAAACTAAAAAAGTTGGTACCACAATATAATGTCTAGTTAAAGTTTTTACTGACTATCAAAAAAAGGCTGAAAAAGAATTGACTGGTATGAGGATAGCGTTTGAGAATTTGGAAGAAAATCGAGGTTATTTTTTGTGTGTAAAATACAGACGATAGAACTAAATAAGATAATTTCTAAGGCGCTCATGGGTCATGACAAATTCAAATAGGCTACAGTTTTCCCAGCCAATGACCTCAAATAGGCTACAGTTTTCCCCGCCAGTGGCCTCAATAAGACTACAGTTTTCTCAGCCAATGACCTCAAATAGACTACAGTTTTCCCAGCCAGTGGCCTGAAATAGGCTACAGTTTTCAGAATCCTATCAAACCTTGCATGTGTATCAGCTCAATGTGTACTTACTGATGGTAGCAATCAGCAGCTGAGTCTCTCTTACAGGCCGATGTGTATGCCATCTTGTACAGCACCAAGAATACCAACAGGTGTAGGATTATCACATAGAAGAAGGCTATCATTCGGGCTATCTTATTGGATAAGACCAGTCGGCCCTGCAAGCATGTCACAGAAATGAAAGAATGCTATCATATATGTAATCTGATTGGACAAGGCCCAGCAGCATTGCAAGAATCAGTCGGAGTGCATTCCAATCAGACTTGATATAACTAGTTTGTCTTACAATACTCACACAGGTTGTCATCTGATGAATTCTGAACCTGCCCTTTTATCTTTCAATGTTTAAATTTATACTCGACGTCTCTATTATTCTACAACCAACCATCACACCTTCATATCCATGAAAATGTATGGTAGACCACCAACGCACGTACAAGGCAAGATAAACCTCTTGCTTTGATACAGTGTTCCAGATTTGAGAAGTTTGAAATCTGCCTTTGTCATTTCCTATTCACAAGTGAAATGTTATTTTATAATTGACATTAAATGCTATGGTTAATTTTAGTATTCTTATAAAGCTTTCATATTTGTATATCCAAATGCATCAATACCAGTTTGGAGGACAAAAAGTGGACATCTGCTTTTCTGTTGTCAGAACAGCAGAAAAACAGACTGAGCGTTTTCAAAGGTTCCATTTTTCTGCTTTTTTGCCTTTCTGCTACCAGAAAAGCAGAATTTATATTTTAAAATTCTGATTTTCTGCTTTTCTGCTTGCTGCTATCTGAAATGCAGGTTTTACTTTTTCCTCCTTTGTTTGCAACCGAAAAGTGGACCTCTATTTTTCCCTTGTGCAAGGAGCAGAAAATCAGATGGAATGTTTTCAACATTTTTATTTTCTGCTATTTAAAGTCAAATTTAGTCATTTTTGGTTGCACTTCAGGGTGCTGGACAGTTTGTACATACCATGTTGAGAGTCGCCTTGTCAAAGGGGCTGAGATTCATATATTTACGCTGCTTCTCTTTCCTGCTGAATGAGTTGAATGGGTCGAGGCGTTGCTCATACTGAGTTGAGTAACGACTCTCGGTATCATCAGGCCCAGTAGAACCCTATATACAATGCACATACAACGTTCAAATAACATTCATTTTTGTACTTGCATACAGTGCAATACAGGGATGACCCATGTTTGTCTCCCTACTTGATGTATCTTTGGAAAAATGACCACAACAAGACTATTATACAGGGTGGATAAAAAAAAGAAACCGAAATATTATTGATAATTGGAGCAGAAGTATGGCACATGTGAATCAAAGGGAGATATCTTCTGTTAGGTTTGAATCTCCTCTTTAAAATGACACCCCGGTCATGTCATTACATTCACGATTGACTGAGCAGTGACCAACTTTATGAAAGGGTCTATTTAGTGACTTGCGCCACTTTTCATGGTGAAATCGCTTTTTTTCCCCACCTGCCTTGATTGGCAACCATAACCTTTCACTCTGTCACAAATGACACAACAAAACCCACAATTGAAAAGTGGCACAAGTCTCTAAAATAGACCCTTTCAAAATTGGTCACTGCTCAGTCAACCGTGAATGTAATGACATGATCAGGGTGTCATTTTAAAGAGGAAATTCAACCCTAATAGAGGACATCTTCCTTTGATTCACATGTGCCCTACTTCTGTTCCAATTAGCAATAATATGTCGGTTTCATTTTTTTTATCCATCCTGTATACAAGAACACCCCATCATGAGGCTTTACTCATGCCCAAGTCCCAATGTCAGGTTAAACAATCCCTCCAATTGTTTGGTTTGTGCCATAGAAAAAGCCACTACCTTGCTCTTTTTATAGCTTTGCAAGAATCGAATCTTCTCATACAGCTTGATGTTATCCGTACGTAGCTTGTCAGTTTCCTCTTTCAGTATGTTCACCTGTTGCTGGTGCTGTCGATTTTCCTGTAGGGAAAAAAAAACAACTTCATTTTAAAATCATGCATTAAACACTTACTTGCCACAAAAAAAAGGAAAAATATGTACAAAAACTGAAGAGATTAGTATGTACAGAATATTTATTTGATCCATACCTGTTAACTTGTTGATATGTCCGGTGGTGATGTTTTAAGTAGTTTTCTTGAACCAATATGAACAGAGTTCTTTGACTTTAAAAAACCTCAAAGTTTGCCACTTTGTTTTGGCCACTCTTTCAACGTCTGCCCAAATAATTAGACCCATTAATCAAACTCAAGTGAGATTCAGGGCATCATTTTATGAGGGTTAATCATAACTCACTGCTTCTAGTTCTTGATTGCGTAGTCGGAATCGTTCCCTCTGACTAGATACAATAGGTAGCAGGGACTCTGCAGCACCCTGGTTGTTGTCTGACACGGACTTGCCTGAAACAAGAGAGTAAATCAAACCACGGATGGATCAACCATTGATCAACTGTCCATGGCATCATGGTGGATGGTTATCATACAGAATCACAACAGTCACTAAGTTGCCCACAGGTGTGCTCACAGAGTTACCAAGTTAGCATTCATAATATAAACAGAATGCCATCAGTGTCAGTTCATACTCTGCATGAATTACATTTTGGAATGTCAACAATTGTAATTTATTTTTGACATCTGACATAATACAAATTTGTTCAGCTCTAAACTATGCATTATTATGCATAAAATATATAACAGGATTTACTTTCATGGTATTGTTGAGGTGATTGCTACTGATCCAAGTTCAAGTTGGATTAATCCTTTTAATCCTCTACCTTGAATACCTCATTCTACAATGCATGTCATGCGATCCTGCACTTGGGATATCCCGGACTATGTGGATTATGTGGAATCTAGCTGGAGCTGTTTTCGTGTACAATGGTATATAATACATGTACATAGATGGGCTGAAACGATGAAGAGAAATGTCGACTTACACTTACCTAATGGCACTGTTTCTCTGACTGCCTCTGCAGCAAAGCCTGCCTCAGTGCTTGACGGGGTTGCTTGACCCTAACAAAAACAACATATCATATTAATAACAATCTGGAAAGAAATCCCAATGTCGCATACCGGTATATTCAACAGTTCTGCTGAAGTTTAGACACTTTTCTGTAAAATTTTAGGCCCTTCATCCACACTATCGAAAATGTGTGTGTTTGAGAACCACTTTCCACAAGCAAGAATCAAACACGGCATATGCACAAGTATGGTCTACATGTACATGAAACCCCCAGCTCTGGTCAGGACAAGAGGTCTGTTTAAATCCAGGTAGAAAATTGTTGAAGTATGGCTGACCTACATGCAAACCCTAGGTCTGCTCAGGGTGACCCATGTTGATTTTAACATGGGTAAGCAAATTATTCTTTGTCTGGACATTTGTGTGTGTGTCTTTGACTCTGGATCCATATCTGCCCCTGTATGACAAGATAATGGCAAGACTTCATACTGACCTCACCCTCCCCTCTGACATACATAGTAGACAGTGTGTTGACACTCAGTAGGTCCTTCTCCAATTTACTGATCAACTGTCTTTGTTCATCCGAGGTTCGGACCACTTCAGTGTGTTGGGCTTGCAGCTCACTGTAATGCTCTGTGATAGAAAACATGAACGACACATCCGGAATAAATCACAGTCATTGATGGACTTCAGACCTTTGTCGGTTCGGAACGTTGAACCTGAAATAGGCAGGGAGGATGGATTTAAAATTCATAATGTACTGGCAATAGCTCCGTTATATGACTTCTAGAACTTTCCATAGGAAAAGATGTCAAATTCTTCACCCATCATATCAAGTTCAAAATAATGACACTTTATATGTTAAGCCAAAATCCTGGACTATTTAAAAACGAAAAAGAAAACAAAAACTTTATACAGGTTTTAAAGCAGCATTTATCAAATCAGCATTCACTTTTTTTGTGTAAAGTGATTGGTCAAGCCTTGGTGAAGTGTTCGAGCAGCTTGCCCATTACCTCTGAAGACTAAGCCAAATTGAATGCTGCTCAGGGAATTTTCTTAAATTGAATGCAGACATTTTTTGAGTTATGTACACATAATGAGCATGATCACATGCTCCTTAATGCTTTTGAATGTTTGTTTTACTGAATAAATGTATATTGCTGCTAATCATACAATTTTGTGCCAATCTGAATGACACTGCATGAATGTTAATGCTAATTTGATGTATTCACTCAGGACCCGAGCTGTTATGACTTTTTAGCCTCGAGCTTTGCGCATCTTTTGATACCAAAAACATGAAAATCGGACCACGGGTTGGCACGTAGCGAAAAATTTTCCGGCGCTACGCGCCATGAAAAATGAATTTTCGCATATACGTCGTGTACACCGAGCAGAATTGCCATTCATACATATGAATAATTAATTAGCCATAATTCCAAAACCCTTTGACCTATAGTCATGAAATTTCTTGGGCATGTTTAGGAAAAGTTGCTCTATGCATGTGCTGAGTTTCAAAATTTTTCGTCACTCGATGGCCGAGATCTTAGGGGGGGGGGGCGGAATCCGCCCCCCCCCCCTAAGATCTCGGCTGAGAGTTGGTCAAAATAACCCGGCCCCTTTAGGGTTAATACCTACCTTTGTCATAAAAAGCAATTTTTGTCCTTGGACTGTAGATGATTCTACAATTGAGGTGTCCTTGAGGAGCGAATCATTTCCTATTTTAAAAAGTTGAATTCCCTCTGATTTATGTACTTTGCATGCCAAAGTGAAAATTACGGAATTTAACTGACAAGTTATCATGGTAATGCACATTTCAACAATAAACAATTTCTGAAATACGGAATTCATTGATACCATTTTCTGAAAAAAAAAAAAAAAATCAATGATAACATGTCAATGATAACTTACTAGGGAAACGCAGATTTCAAAGATAACATAGCAAAGACAATTCAAAGATAACGGTAACTTGGATTGTCATATACGCTTCCATATGTATGTCATGAATGCAGTGCAAAACACCCCCCCCCCCAAAAAAAAAATCAAAGCAATGAAAGATATCAATATTATCATTTGTAGCTAAGGTTTTCTTTTTATAAACAAGCAAATATTCCGTTAAGACATGACACAAATAAACACATGCACTTACACTGAAAGGTATTCAATGGTAGTTGTACAATTTTTAATAAATACTGGGGAAGAATGGGAACATGTACAAGTGAATTGTGGGAAGACAGGGTACAAAAAGTGAACCGCCTTGTTCTTCCCAAGACAACAATATCAAGAATAGGTCCTAAAAATGCTGTCGACTAGAGAGTATATGAGACAATATAAAATGCTTTAGTTCTGAATGCTTACCATGCAGCAACAGATACATGTATAATATAAGTAGGATTGACTGGTTCTGGCAAGATAGAAACATCTGTAATTCTCTTTGTAATGAAAAACTGTGTTGCGATATCACAGGAGTACAAAACTGTATGTACAATACATGCATGATAAATAGTGACTAACACTTCTACAGGGATCGCATTTCATATAGTTTGCTATAGTCCTCATATTTACAAAGTTTTAAAGTGTTCCAACAATCAACAATTAAAGGATTAAGATAATTAACAAAAGATACACGTAAAACTACAGACTTGGTTCAGCTATAGGAGTATACATGCATAAAAGTCTAACTGTTATCAACTTGATCAACTACTGTTTCTTGAACTGATTGTCAAAATTAACTGGGTGATATGGAAAAAGGAATACAATCAAAATGCAAAAACAGTGATTTTCCCTGCTTTGACATAGTTAGTCCAGCCTGCTGGACCCTAATAAAGGATCTTGTACAATAATTCTAAATACAAGTGATGTTGCAAAAAACTTGCACTATCTAAATTAACAGAACATCTTCAAATGTTTAAATAAAACATGGTTGTTTTCCGATATCTGATGGCAAACATGATTATTATAATCATCATACATTTATCTTTTTTTTTAATCTATGACTCACTAAAAAATCAATGACAAAATATTCTTTGATAATAATCCAAAATACAATGTATTTTACTCTTCATGTTACTTTTCCCAAACATACTTTTGAATAACTTATGCATATGGCCCATAAAATTGCCGGCAAATTACCCCTCCCCCCACAAAACAAAAGTTTACAGTAATGAACCTCATTTTTCCAAGCCACATACATTGTAAATGTATTTCAAGCATTTTTTTTTTTTAGAAACTAATTGACTTTTTCCCTTCAAATACATGCAGGTAATCTTTTACCTTGTAATATATGATACAATTACAATTATAAAAATGCTTCAAAACTCCTGCCAATAACAGGAAAGAAAGAGCCAGTTATTTTGTCCAGGTCTGTGCCCAGTCTCTTCCTCACATCCCCGACCTCTTCTTGAGAGAAAACCAGCCAGGACATTGCAGTGAGTCCCATTTCAATTTGGCAATTAATTCCAATGGTATCATAAAGCTAAAAGTCTATCTCTTTGAAAGACATTAATTAAAAGTTGGGCGCTTCTGTGAAGTAAAAACAATAAAATAATACTGTAGTTTTCAATGTTTGTTGGTAAATACATGTATGTAATACATACTCATTATTGCACTATAGGGTGGGCCTTAATAAAAATAGCAAACTTTGGTCCTGCCTTTGAAACATACATGTACATGTAAAACTCAAACAATATTTTAAAAGGGAAACCGAAACAGCAAACAAAGTCAGATACAACAGTTTACATAATACTTGGACAGAGAAGATTATTTTAATGGTAACAAAAAGAAATTGAGTTTTGCTCTTCAAATAAATATTAGGAGAATAAGTGCCAAATACTGAAAGCGTGTGTGGGACTATGACAAGTGTTTTAAGGTAGATTATAGAAAGTAGAAAAACACAACATTTCAGTTAAATGCATTTGCTTGCTTACAGTTCACATGTCAAATCTGTAATGATTACTCCTCTACGAAGTTTGGCCAACACAAAATAAAGCCCTAATACCACTATCCTTCACTGATTCCATAAAAAATCTACAAAAAACCCCATATTTCAAGGTGCGGCACAGGGCCCAGGGTCTTTGAGCTCCCCTAGCCATCTTGGGGACTTATTCATTTTCATTGAAGATTAGCAGCACATGTTTATGAATACTATTTCATAAAAACTAACACTGCCTATGCGGTACACAGCTACATATCATGTCAACAAACCATAAATAATATTGCTTGATTAACATACAATGTACTTGCTAAGAGTCACTAAGATTCCAGTAATAACCAACATATTCTAATGGCATTTTTGATTGTAACCTAAAAGTGTAATGTCATTAAATTAGCAACATTGTGTGTTTAACAGCAGACACACTCACAGCACGAAAGAGACAACACAAAAGACATCTCTTTAGATGTCAATGGTTGGATCATGACCTCAAGATGACCGAGTGAACCATGCTATGGACTTCATACATCAATGTATGTGCATCTGGTACTTCAGAGGTAACAATGCAAAACATCAGTATTAATGACAGATAAATAAACACCACATGTGTAGTGCCACCCATGCTCAGGTACATTCCTTCCATGCTAAAACACATCACTCACACGTACAGACAAGTAAGCGTACATGACGTGCCCATCCTTGGCTCAGGTGACTAGGCCACCCAATACCCATTTACAGTTCCTACTAAGCACCGTCGATATATCGATATTACTCGATTATACTATATTTATTTTGATATCAATATTGCCGATTTTTTTAATCATATCGAAATATCGAAATTTTTGATTTTGTGAGGAATGATATCGAAAATATCAAAAGTGCGTCAGATTATCGTCAAATAAATCTCCCGTTTGTGCTTTTACTTTGTGTTTAACATTTGCCGTACATAATGAAACAAAACTCGGCGGCAACTTGTGCTTGTGAATCAAAATAAAAACATCTTGAAATGCCAAGCGGCGTCGCTTTGTGCTCTGCATTCGCTGGAATTTGCGGTCTCCCCCAACGTAAAACCGCAAAAGAAACCGCTCGTTCTGGATAAACTGTCAGTGCTGAGATTTGTTTTAAAAAGTTTGAGCAATATGCTCCAGAGAAAGCCGTGGAAAATTGGGGACTTAACACTGTTTTTTTTTTTTTTAATCAGAGTGTCATCTTTATGGTCTTCAACTTTTTCACAGGATAATCGATATATCAGATATTCCCGATATTGGATTTTTGATATATCGATTATTGAAAATTCTAATATCGACGGTGCTTAGTTCCTACGTGGTGTACATAGACGTAGGAAGATTAGAATTCCCACTCATCTCCAGACCCATCCCGCACCCCACTCTCTAACTTCTGTAGGATACTATAAGCATCCTTCTCACTCATCTTGTTCTCAGCCACACTCATTCCTCTAGTATCCCCCGTCGGTTCACGTTCTCGTCTACTTGCTTTTTTCCCCTGTCGACCAGCTCTTGGCTCTCTGTGTTGGCCAGGTGAAGTCTTGCCATTCCTCACTGCCTCATGATCAGAGGATTCGGAGCTAGCCTGGTGGCCATCCTCTCTTTGGATCTGCATTGTTTTAGCGCAGGCATCCTGATGTGATGGTGAATCTACTTTACTATGACTACTAGTTAGATCAGGTGTGCCTTCCAAGCTACTTGTCTCTATTAACTGTCCATCAGTGGTTTCTAAAACCACTGCATCACCGTTGACAACTTTCGGTGAGGTTGAAGGCGATGGATTACCCTCATCATGAGGGTGAACAGGTGAAGATGAGGATTCCATCTGTGTAGTCGTTTCTGCGCCATACATCATGGCATGTGTAGCTGTCAGACCATCAGGACCAATGATATTCCCATCTGCTGTCTGAATCATGAAGTTAGCAGCATCCTCTACCAGTGTGTGACCTCGTTTGAGTCGTGACCGATGGTTATGAAACCAGTTGATGACTGTTGAGACAGGTAGTCGCAGATCAGAGGCAATGAGTTCAATGGCACTCTGTGATGGGTAGGGTTCATTGTTATAGGATATCAGGAGAGCTTCTTTGTCTTCAGGGGAGAGTAGAATACGAGGTTTCTTCATTGGTGTACCGGCCACACTCACCTCCCTCGGATCGACAAAGCTGAAGCGTTTGGCTGTGATTAAAACAAAAATTTTCGTTCATTGTGAGCATTATAAAGACTCATCTACTCATAACTGATCCTTGATAGGTATCTCATACTAGGCTTGTGCACTATTGGATTTTGGGAGTCCACGTTATACCGTCATACATTATTTTGGTTTTCTGTAATACAGTGTTCTGAAAATTAAAGGTCGGTGCGCCGTCAAAAAGCGGAGGGGGGGGGAGGGGCTATATGTTAGGGGCGCTATTCAAAGTCAAACATTTCTTTATGTTAGGGGGCGCTATTTGCAGATGAACATGTAGTTTATGTTTGGATAACAGCTTTTAGGCCATTTCTAACACAGTAACACTAACAGTTAAGTACAATACTGGCTCAGCATCATCTTTTTTTAATACATCAGTGACCAGGGACTCTGAGGTACTTTGGCCTTGAGACTTTTGATCTGATGGATTGCTACAATGGGCAGGCTTGTCAGTTTGACAAGTGTTGCATGTTATTGCCTTTGGCAGAGTTTCTGGCCAAAATATACCCTGGAGGGTAAGGGTAGTCCCACTTGTTTGCCTTTTGTTATTATTTTTTCCTTTTTTTTTTAAAGCATGGCGGGCAACTTTTTAAGCATGGCAGCAACTTTTTAAGCTTGGCGGGTGACTCGGAAAGCTTGGCGGGGCACCAGGTTATTTTTACAGGTTGGAGAACACTGGTATTACCAGGTATTTTTGGGCAGACTATCATGTCATCCCAATAATGCAAGACACATGGTAATAGGGAAACCACACACAGGCGGCGTAAACAGAACTGTAAAGGCCATACTGGATGGCTAGTAAGCAAAGGCATCGGTTTGAAGTCCATCTCCACAATGATATCAATATCTAGACACTGTGACAACGAAGAATTAAAACCACTATCCATATACTGCAAATCTGGTCAAAGAGATGGGCCAAATTACAAACACAACTTGTACAAGGCCAAGAAATGTATACGTTTGATCTTTTCTTTTTCCCACATAAAAACTGTTTTAGACAAGATCACTGCCCACTAAATGCCCTAGATTATTGATACATCTATGTTTATGACTTACGTCTTCTTATAGGTCGATAGTTCTTGACTTTCTCCACACCATCTTTATCCTGTAACCACAGATACATGCGTATGTATGGCTCTCTCCCCTTCATACTCAACTTTAACCACATCTTGGGTTTGGAGAGTAGATCACTGACTGAGCCTTGGGTCAATCCTAGAACAGCCTCCCCAAAGGCCTTCTGACCGACACCATGCTGCTGTAAGATTGCTTTGACTTGACGTGTGAGCTCAAACGTATCCAGGAACTCAATCATAGCAGCCTGTTCATGGACTGGTGGCAGCTCAGGGAAATGCTGAGGAGGTGAGGGGGTCTGTAGCTCTACATGAGGAGTGCTGGGTGCCTGAATGGGTGGGGTAGGAGTAGATGGAGCACTGCATGGTGTAGGAGTGCCTGGGGTACTTGCAGGTGCATTTGTGTTAGAGCCAACAGGTGTAGTCAGATTCAGGGGACTAGCAGGTTGTTGCTGGCTTAGATATGAAGAAGCTTGGGTAGGAGTTGGTGTCTGGGTGTTATCTAGGTGAGGTTGGTTAGGAGTAGGAGGGCCTGGAGACATCTCAGATGCACTATGCTGATCGGAGGTATCTGTGCCTGTTGATGGTGGTCGTTGCTGCTCCATCCAGAACCCAGATGCTGCAGAACAAGTACAATAAGTAAAGTACAAGAATGTTTTATCAGTTTGCATGTAGCTCATTCCCACAATTTTTTTCCAGCACAACGGATGAAAGCAAATCTACAACTTACATACATGTGTAAGTTAATAACTACACAAGCATGGAAAAAAAATGAATTTCACTGAGTAACATGAAGATGATCAACTTTCATCGCTAGTATTGAGGGAGGTATTCTAACACTAAGAAATGGAACTTGAATATTCTATTTTTGTCTCGAAAAATCAAAGAATGTAACAGTCATGAAAACATTTTTTACCCTAGAAGTTCATGAAAGAATTGGGACTGTTTTCTATGTATATCAAACACAAGTACAGCATCCAATTGAACCCCCAAAATGTCTATCACTAAAAATTGGAGAAACACAGAAAACCATCAGAAGAAATGAAATCCAACCAACCTTTCCTGACAGATTCTTTCAAAGAAGTCAAGCCATCTGGATCTTCAAGCCACAGTCTCATCCTAATGAATGGCTCTCTTCCCTTGACCGTCAACTTGTCCCATCGTTTAGGCTTGGACAGAATATCACTCACACTTCCTTGAGACAACCCAATGACATGGTATCCAAAGACCCTCTGTGGGATATTGCCACGAGCTAGACGCTCACGGACTTGTCGAGCTATCTCCAGAGTGTCTAGGTCTCGGTTGAACTCGCACTGTTGGACAGTCAGCGCTGCCATAGTGCGGCGAGGCATGCGTGGGTTGATGGACATAAAGGTGGATTTGATATCTCCGGTATCATCCCGGGATGATGATCCCTCGTCAGCACTCTCTGAGGATACTCCATTTGCGCATGGTTCCTCTAGGATCTGATTAGTGGGAGTGAGAGCACAGCTTGAGCTTTTCGTACGTTCAACTTTCATATTGTGGCCGTTATGTCGAGGGTTACTGCTACCACCTCCCCGGCTATAATTGTTACTTGGTGGTGTCTTCTGTCGGTGGAGGGAGTGAAGGTTTGGATTATCACACCTTCTATCACCAGGCCTGACCATCCCTGGACCTATGTTCTTACTCTCCATCTCTTGCTTAGCTAAAGCCAGAATGTTGTTAATGGCTTCCTCTGTGGAGGTTTTTATGGAGGGACTTGAGATGTCACCACCATCCCCGCTGGCAGTACTACTCGGAGGTGTAGCCATTATTTCTTTGCCTGAAATTTAAAGAAAATTTGCAATTTTTAAAAACCTTTTAAGTCTAAATATAATAACCTTACAAATGACTGAAAATAAAAACACTCAATAATCAGTAAAGTACAAGGTGAATGATGCTACAAGATTTATGTATACAAATCCAGCACTTATGTCATACAGTTGTTAGAGTAACAATATAAGAGGGTTTAAAAGGAGAGGCAACAAATTCATCGTTTTCGACTTTTTAAGTTAAATAATCAAAATTCACAACTAGAATTAGTTGCTCACCTTTCTTGTGAGGGGACAGTATCTTGAGTTGTTCCACATATTGCCTGTCTGAAAGAAACTGAACCATCTTGAGAAATGGTTCTCTTCCTTTTAGGGTCAACTTATCCCATGTCTTAGTCCTGGAGAGAATGTCACTAACAGATCCCTGGCTCAAACCAAGAATATGCTCTCCAAATATTCGCTGACCAATGTTATGCTCAGTCAGGACTTCCTTGACGCGTCTGGCAATCTGAATCGTGTCAAGCCATTCATGGTTAGTAACAGCAGGGTTAACCTGCGTATCAGATTTGGGGGTGCGTGGTCGATTGGGTGTATGTGGTCGATGCTGCTGTTGTTGATGGTGATGATGTAGCATATGTAGATGCTGCAGTGAGGATGCTGCAGCACTATTGAGTGATGGTGGGATGACAATAATTGGCTGGATGATCTGAGAGCCACTAGGGGTCTGCTGCTGGGCCTGCTGCTGAGCATACATCACCTGCTGGCTGTAGGCAGCCGCAACCTCTTGACCAATAAGAGATGCAAACGCCTGCGCTTGGGATATCCCCCCGGGACCTGCAGTTGCAAAGAAGAGAGGCAAAATGCATTGTGGGGTGGTTGCTCACTTGGACCAGTTCCTTCACATTGGATGAGTCTGACTTTGGCCACAAATTAGCAAAGTACAACAGACTACCACAAATACTTCAATCAATGGACTTTCCACTCCAAGATCTTTTCAGTGCTTCCAATTTGCATGCATGTTAATAACTCTTTACTCATTTTCTGTGTAAGCCTTGGTCTTGTACATGTAACACATGTTGAACAAAGACAGAATCGGGATCTACTGTTCATGCTTCTTACATAGGACAACTATAGACATGACACAACACACTCCAAATGCATTTTGCCCCTTACCTCTTGCTGCAGGCACTACCCTACACACTGCCCTCATGTGGCAACATACGCAAGGGCTACTTAATCATGTGCTTTCAGTTAACTTTACCTTCTACGCACAAAAAAATGTTCAAATACTATTTACTCATTTGAACAAATTCTTATAGAAATTGATGAATAAAGCAGACTGTTTTCACGGAATGAAAAGAAAATATGAGCCCCAAAAACCAAAGATTGAAGAAGCTAGAAAAACACAGCAATGAAGTACATTTTGTGAAATACAAATTGTGCTCATATGAGATAGAAATGTGAGTAAAACATGCCAACTTTAAAGACTCTCATGGCCAATTGTATTGTCAGATATATGCCCTGAAAAACAAAGGATTGATTGTAAGTGCTTTGGAGACTCCTTGTTTATTACTGACTGTCAATCGTTTCAGTATTGCTATTTTGGACTGCCGAGTACAGGTTTTTACAGTCAAAAGAAAAGATTTGTACTCACTGTTTATTTCAGACTTGGTAACTTTCAGTGTTGTGTTCTCTGACTGTAAGGCTCGGTTCTTCTCCAACAGCAGCATCTCCAGTGACTTGGGTGTAGCTGTACCACCGTCAGTTTGCTCACCACTCTCAGACACATCACTGCCATGGGTGCTGAACTCAATAGACTTGAGCACACTGAGTTCTCGCTTGATCTCATCATAGTCACTCCGACTACGCATCTGTTCTTCCTGAGGGAAGATATCAACAGTCATCCAACAGTAAGACAATGACATCATGATTACCAGTCCCTCAGTGCTAACAATTAATAATTCAATAATCATAGAGAGTGAACATTGATAACTCATTCTCTGGTAAGGATGTCCAATGGCATATCAGCCCAATTCAGAAGTGTAGCTCATTACTGCTCAATGTTACATATTGAGAGCTGACATACCGACGAATAAGCGAAAACCCTGTTTCGAGTAATTCGCGTTTAAAGTTTGAAATTTTTCTGGGCGTCGTATTTTCACCCGTAATGTTAAAGGGAATATACATCATTTGCTTTTGCTGTAATTTTCAGAAATGGATGGAATTGGGGGGTTGGAAATATAAAGCAAATATAGTTACACTGACTTTTTGGAGGTTTTGGGTTCGAAAGTGCTATAAAAACCAAGAAAAACGATCATTTTCCTGTAGTCTGGTCCCCTGACTCCATATAAGAAGAAACAGAGCAGTTTACATACATTGGGGAATTGTAAGGTCAGGGAACCAGTCTAGCTGGCTCGTACCCGTTCATAGGTTTGTAATCGATTGCAAACAAGTGCAATGGTCAATTGGGGCCAGTATTTGAAAAAAAAGCCAGTTGTTTCCAACGCTGATCGGCCGATCAGCGTTGGAAATTGATACAAAAATACCACTTTTCTTGAAAATGACAGTATACCAGGTGCCATAATTTTACAGGATGCTTTAGACTGTCATTTACCAACATCCTATTAAGGTATTTCGCAAAAACTTGGTAGTTTTATTTTTCGATGTTTGCAAATGTTGTATATTCCCTTTAATGATAATAACCCTTTTGGTGTATATTCGAATTAAAATAGGAAACGTAGTATCCATCAGGTTACTTATTTAATCATAGAAGTTGTGTGAAATGTTTTTATTTGATTGTAAACATATTTGTCAGTTTGTCAAATTACACAATCACCAATAGCCGGTTGTTCTTCACACTGTTTGCATGATTTTCGTCAGTTTGTCGGATTACAACATTTCAAGCACGCGCTGTATACAGTGCGCGCGCGAAACTGAGTTTTGATCGACAAACTGACGAATAGCATACAAACAGTGTGAAGAACAATCAGCTATGGAAGATTTTGTAGTTTGACAAACTGACGAATACAATCAAATACGATCAAATAAAAACATATTACAGCATTGTACATGTAGCGTGCAATATTATTTTGATCATAATAGATAAGCAAAAAATGAATTGAGTCTTAAAAAGTCACCTTTCACATGACATTTTGACAACCACAGTAGCACATCATTTGTTGGTACTTTGAAAGCACACCTTACATTAGACGGTTACCAGCAAATTTTCATATTCGTCACTATGTCAAATTCTGTATTTGTTATTATGATTGATTCGCCGTAGAAGGGGCTCTGAATCTCAGAATCCAGGCAAGAATTAAGAATTTTGGCATAAATACTTGAAAGAGCAACCTTTACAAACCACAAAAATAACAAAATCTGAAATTCGCAAAAAATGGTCGATTTGCCGGTTTGTCAGCTCTGCAACGATATTACTGATCACCTCGGTTACATGTACTTTACTGATATTGCTGTTCATCTAAATTGACAGAAACAGATAATCAAAACACACATTATTTTCCCCCATCGCGTTCTATTTCTGTTGCTGCTTCAATTGTATTTTACAGTGGCACCCTGTGTTTTTGTTTCACAAACACTCACCAAACCACGTCCAATGGCAACAAAATCATTGGGGAATAAACCAGTAAATGAAAGCTACTTGACTTATTTGTTCACGCAACAGCGAAGTGGGTACCAGCGTGTTCATATCAATGCACACTCTGGTTCCCTTGCTGTTCCATGCTAACAATGAAATTTACAGAACAATTTGGCCGACCGTTAACGCAAGGAATCCAGGAAATTTTATAGTAAATAAACAACAAAATGTGAAATTAGAACACTTGAAATACAAGTTCTGCCTTTTCCTGTTAATCATTGATTTTGCAAAGTGTCCGTCCCAAATCATATTTTGCCCATCCAAAACACGATGGTTGGCTCAGTAGACAAAACACCATGTCAAGTTTCATGTTTACATATATTGTTCATGATCAGGAATCCATGAAGAAATATAAAGGTGGTAAAAAATTTAGCAGGGCGGCAAAACGTATACAGGGCGGGGTAATATTTCAGCAGGGTGGCCCACCTGCCTAGAACTCATTGTGGAGAACACTGAAGCCTTCTTTTGTGGCTTGTGTATACTTGGTCATCACACTCACCAATTTCTGTATTGTAGCATTCTTTTGGCTGACTTGTTCTTCTAACTTGTGAATCTGGCTGGTTGATCCATCTCTCAGCTTAGTGTTAGTGGCTTGTAATCTCTGAACATCCTCAACAAGTTGTGAAATCTGTAACAATCATTGTCAACACAAATCTTCAAAATAATACCTGGAAAATGTTTGCCCAAAAATTAAGGTTTCAGCGTGATCAAGAATTGATTAGTGTTATCTCCATAATTCCTTTCTGCACTTTCATTTACCTAAATTAAACGTGTGCAAATGTGTCATGTATGAATGCCAACTTCAGCACATATATTTGAAGGTTACAGTAAAGACATCATAATAAACTTGTCAGTATGAATGTGATTAAGGGATGAGCTTTGTCATAACATACCGGTACACAATCATCTATTACCGAAAGGATTGGTTGTCAAGGTTCAAAACCATTTGGCTTCCTTTTGATGAAGTGTATTATAAAGACTTCTTTAGTTTGGGGAACTGTTCAAGTCCCACCAATAGTGTTATATCCCTTATAGACACATCTTGGCAGTCATCAAGAGACAGTTTTTGTGGTCATCATGACATGACAGTAAGGCCTTGTAATACATTCATTGATATCTTCAGAGCTATCCACCCATGCTCTGTTCTCATAGCACTATCCAAGGTTGGACATACCTCCTTTTCTTTTGCAGATAGCTCCACCTCCAGACTTGACCTTGTCAAAATATCAATGGCCTGCTCCTAAATGTAACAAGAAATAACGGCAGCAGTGAATTTTAGAACTGGCTTGAGTCCTTTAACCCTAATTCCCTATTGAGTTTCAATAAGAACAGTACTAAGTCTGAGAAAATTCATCACTGACTCTGCTTCACATTATGCTTCAGAAGCAAATCCGCCAAAATGTACCACCAATCCACCACTGCTATGTACATGTAAGTGGATTTTGATGGACTTGGTACTCATGGCTTGCTTACCAAAATCCCCCCAAATGGGGGGATGTATTTTGATGGAGTTGGGAAGGTTAGGGTTAATCAACGATTGAGGCTTGTACAACTCAAAGCATGACTATATGCCATCCTGATTGGTGTAAATTACATTCAAGTTACTCTTCCATGCAAACATGACTTCTCGTGTGTCATTTCTACACATTAAGACCAATGCAGTTAGTCTTGTGGTCATTTGTGGTAATCTTACAAAGCATTTGGTCATTTGCAGTTATCTTACTGAGCATGTGTGACTATGAGAGAATGCCTTAAAGGGAATGTACATCATTGGCTTTTGCTGTAATTTTCAGAAATGAACTATTTGAGGGGTTAGTATAATAGATCAAATATTGTTACACTGACATGTTTGAAGTTTTGTGTTCGAAAATGCTGGAAAAACCAAGAAAAACAAAAATGTTCAAGTAGTCTGGTTCCTTGACTCCACTAAAGATAAAATGGATCAATTTATAGATGCCAGAAAATTGTAAGGTAAGGGAACCAGTCTAGCTGGCCTGCACCCGTTCATGAACATGTAACCAATAGCAAACAAAATTTGGACTGAAAAAAGTGTAAAGTTGGAGCAGTAGTTGAAAAATAGTTAGGTTTTTCGAACGGTGGTCGGCCGACCACCGTTGGAAATGTATACAAAAATACCATTTTCTTGAAAATGACTTCACACCAGATGCCATGATTTTACAGGATGCTTTAGACTGTCATTTACCAACATCCTAGTATGGTATTTCGTAAAAACTTGGTAGTTTTATTTTTCGATGTTTGCAAATGTTGTATATTCCCTTTAATCCTCACCACACTAGGAGCTTTCTGCATCTGTTCAGCTTGCTGTAGTGCCTGTGTAGCTGATGCTAGCTGTGCTCGTAATGTTTCCAGTTCCTTCTCACTGGCAGACTGTCTCTGGTTGGTCCGCTCCAAGTCTGTCATCAGCATGTCAACTTCATCAGATCTGATAGAATACAAAGGGTCGGATTCAATATTCCACAATGCCAAGCATTATATAGGTCAATTACATGTACTTCAAACCGTCACAACTTATACATTCTTAGACACTCTTGTAAAGACGTTTTCCTGTAACAAAAGCTATATGAATGATCATGCTTCCTACATCAAAATTGCCCAGCAGATAATCCCATTCACTCCTTGTGAATCCCAGCAGTCAACAAAAGGCCATTCATTCAATGCATACATGTACATAACCTCCTGATAAGTATCATGATGTATCGTGACCTCAGAATTATGCTTCATGTCTTATCATGACAAATGTGGTATCACTTTACCCCTTGCTGCTGGGGTCTGTAGGATTTACCAGGAATCATATTTTATGAGGTGGTGCATGTTTTGGATATGTACATGTTGTAGGTTGCTTTTTAAAAAATATTTTTATTATCCAATTTCCTACTTACTTTGCTGCAGCTTGCTCCTCAAATTTTGCCCTTAGATCAAACAGTTCAGACTGGCTAGCATCCAAAGCTGAAAGGCAATACAAATTTCAAATGACATTAGTTTAAAACTGTTCAGAATTTATACTCTTAGAGAAATGCTCGTACACAAATTGTACATTTGTGGTGGCAATCAAGTACATCTCACTCACCATTTTGAAGTGTCTGTATTTTCAGTTCTGCCTCTCCAAGTTTGGTTGCCACTGTCAATTGCGTTTCTTTCAATTGTCTGTATAAATTAATGTCAAATCAACAAATATTGGGTTAGAGTAATTTTAGAACAAGCTTCAAATAATCTGCAAGAAGGGAAATGAAACTAAGACTGCAGACTATGCAGGAATGTTTCTATGACAGCCACAGTTTCCAGAGTTTTCATGTTGGATGCTATCCTTGGCACTACCTTGCCAGATGGAGTAATTCCTTACTCACTGGTTACATGTAGGCCATCATGCACTAGCTATTCAATGTATCATTAGATTCATTACAGGATTAGCATAACCATACATGTACATGTTCCGTACATTAGTGCTGCCCATTAACCTTCAGGTTTGGTTCAGGTTTGGTTCAGAAGTTTTTAGCGATTCAAGTTCAGCAGCAAATGTCCAAGCATACTAAACCACAAAAAAAAAAACAGCCACACCACGTTGCTGATGCGTTATAGCACCAATAACAAAATTCGGGTGGGAAAAAGGATGCGGGCGGGGATGAGGAACTGGTGTATTTCTTTCCTTGGCCTTAAAATGGCATAGCCACAGCCCCCCTCCCCCCATTCACTAATTTGTACCTTTCCTTGTCTTGGAATTCCCTCTGTAATTCCTTCTCTTTCTCTCTAGCTCGACTCTGAGCGGCTGATTCCATGCGCTCCTCATACTCACGAAGCTTCTCTTTCAAGTTCTTGATTGTCACCTCTGAAATACATCAGTATCAAACAAGTTCAAACAAGTTTCAGGCCAAGTCAAGCTTCAGAAGTTTGGTATAGTGTGCAGGATGGAATGACCACTGGGCCTTTTCAAAAACACTCCAGAGCTGTAATGTTGAAAAAATGGATGGGAACTCTCTGATCAGATGAATGGGCAGGCTATTCATGAACCAAGAAGGCAGCTAGTGAGTGAATGCAGTTACAATCAGAGACAATGGAGCAAATTGGGGGATGTTCCAGTTGTTGTCTTCAGCTTGTGTCATAAAAAATTGAAGGCCATAATTTTTTTTAAGCTTGGTTTTGAATATCCGGTTTCCAAAACCCAAACTGAATAGTGAAATTCAAACCGAATTAAAAAAATCCAGATTTTAATCCCATCACTAGTGTGTACATGCCACTCTATAGGTTTGCAAACTAACAGTCAACCTGAACAATTTGATTCACTTTACAAATGATATTATCAAGCTAGCCTATCCAAACCAATTCCATGAAACATACATACATTTTGTATAATTTTTTTCCAAAGACTGATGGCATTGCTTACCTTGATTTTTAACCTCAGCAAACTCTAGATTATATTCCTCCAGTGTCTCTCTCAGCTTCTGGTTCTCAACCTCAAGGTCCTGAGCCTTTTGAGCCCGTTTCTGTAAGCTCAAACTGTGCTCCAGGACTGAGACAGGATCTAATAACAAATAATAAGAAGAATGCTTCAATTTGACACAGCGTCCTAATGGGAAGAATGATATCACAGAGCATGCAGAGTGGATGAACAGAAGATCATGTATCAGGAGGGGTAGGGAGCAGATCATGAGCCTTCTCAGCCAATGCTTTGTCACCGAACTGTGCTCCAGGATTGATAAATGATCTGGAAGGAGACAATGGTGTAAGTACAACTTGCATACTTACATGCTTTATCCAACACTAGCCAACTGTGGACACAATTGGGTTATTCAGATGGATGTCTGATTCATGTACCGGTATATACCCAGAAATGCATCAATTAATTATCTTTAACCCTAACCCCCCCAACTCCATCAAAATCCATCCCCCCATTTTGTGGATTTCGGGTGACAGTCCTGCAGGCCTGGTGTGACTAAATATTGATGGAGTATGATGGACTTGGGCCTGGAGACCTGAAGCAAAGCATGCATTGCAAGCAGTGTGATTGATGGATTTTGGCAGACTTGGTCCAGTACTTAGTAAAAAGTAGGAAGTTAGGGTTAAAAACTGCTTGAATCATGAACAAAACCAGCATAAACTCTCTTGAAGATCAACCTAGAGATTGACTGTTGCCTACCAGACACGTGTATGTATGCACACATTGCACCCTTTAATTCAACATAATTGATGATCTCTGCAGTCCACATGTACCATGTGTACACAGTGATTGAATACTCAGATGTCTATCCTCAAATCACTAAATAATGAATGCCATAGATCTTGAACTAGACCTCAGAGTCTTACATGTCTCGATGCAATCCGACCTTTGACCCTTCTTATTGGAAACACAATTTGTATGCGTCAAAGGGATATCCAGTCGACATGTACCGGTACATGTATGGGATGTAAGTAAATGGGAATCGTATACCGGTTATACAGCATATAGTCCAGTACAGCATATATTTTCCCCTGTTAGTAATTTCTTTAATTAGAAACACCCTCACAAGGATAATGGCTCATACACAATAGAATCACAAATCACAGGAACATCTTGACTTGAGCCCTTCAGATATGAGAAATACATGTAATCATGGTAATTGATTACCAGAGTAGCCCCCCCCCCCCAGAAACGTTCACCTCGGCCCTTAGTTCGAATTCTGAAACGAGTACACATACATACCAGTACTACTACCGTACATGTACATGCAGTTTAATAGTTACACTCATTGATCCTAACCCTTCTCCATCTTGCCAAATCTCCCAAGCCGTCATTGGAGGATTTTTGAGGATTGAGGCTGTTTTTCTTTGAAGTGCAGTCAATTTTGGAAAATGCTTGTGTCTACATGTACCTTGCATTGTTCATGTTCAGCCATGCATATATATGTACATGTACACGTAGGCCCACATGTCATCCGCACTGCTTCAATGCCTCAAAAGTGAGTTGGAGTATTTTGGAACATTTAGCATTAGGCAGTATTCAATTTCTACTTGGAGGCCATTGCAAGGCAAATTTTAATTGCCTCGCTTTGTGGTTACAAAAAAGTTGAGGTGCTACATGTATACATAAAAGCCACAACACTTTACCGGTATTTCACAAACTTACAATATAAAGTCAACAAAGGCTTAGCTTTAAGGACAGGCAGCTGCATTGAGACACACCTTCATGCAACTGACATTGATTATATTTCCCAATAGATTCAATGTGTTTCCTTTCAAAGTGTTGTTTGGAAATTCTGTCTTATTGACTACACACTGAAGTTGAGAACAAAATCAATACGTGAATTATCGTCTCTTTGAACGGATCATTCTCTGCAAATTTCAACAGATGGTGGTTTTAAAAAGGCTATTATGACAGCTGCGGTGTTTTCAGTTAATTGAATTTTTAAATTAAAATACATGTAATTAAGATTATATCAATTACAGTATTTTCATGCATTTACATTTATGGATTTCTTTTTGTAATTGTTCAGTGTTGTTAAGTGCAGATGTAAACCTGTTTGTCAGTTGAAAACAATTGTATTTACGCCAACTGCATGGTAAGTACCGGTATGGGTAGTACGGATGTGATGCAAAACAAAAATCAACATAAAATCTAACGACAACGTAATCAAATTCGCTAAACCTCATTGTGTTCCCTTCATTTGGTAGCAAAAAACAACAATCAAGAAGATTTGCTTGATCAATATGCTAATCACCCCAATTGATTATTTGTGATAATCAATCCATACAGCCTATATTCCCAAACCAATACAGTATGACAAAGCAAACATGGACACTGCTCACGGCTATTGATTATTTACCATGTTTACTCTATAAAATCTATACATGAACAGCAGCTACATGTACAACATACATGTACATTCACATTGTACCGGTATGTACAGTATGTAAATTGTACATTTATCAAAGCTGAGACTGAGAAAAAATATTGTGTTTACGGTAACACCCTGAAAATTATCCAGGGTAGGTAGCTAGGTGGGAATTTTTGTAATTTTGTTAACTCTTTCTGTGTTGTCTGTGGGTCTTTTATACTTACTTTGGGACTCCTTTAACAGTAGCCTATTCTGTTTAATTAACCTGTTTTATTGTTTAATGAACAAATAACACACAAAACCTTGCATAGGTAGGATATACGGTATATACTTAAAATTCTTGGCCAAATGCGGCAATACAAAGTTTGGAGGTTGGCATTTTGGCCTTTAAAAAATCCAGGTACATGTAGGTTGGGTTACCATAAACACACAATACATAGCATGTACATGTTCTACAATCCCCCCCCCCCCCCAGAGGACCGACACACAAAGGGAGAACAACAGATCCTTTCAGTCCTCGGGAGTTGGGTCTTTTGTTGGAAATGGTCCTCTGTAGTAAGTTTGTGTGCTTAGTCTCTAGATGGGAGAGTGTTATATTACAGTAACAAAGGGAAACACAAAGCATTGTCCTCGAGAGTATAGTAAAACAAGAGTTTTTATTAAATTAATAGACCGATTTGCGGACTATATGTGTAAGCTGGTAAAAATACATGTACGTTTTCAATTTTTCAAATCAGATATTCTCTAGACTCCAGAAAATATTACACACACGATTCAAACTTTCCTACAGTCCGCAAACCTATTCTTGTTGAGTATATTAAAAAAGTATGGATGCACAAAAAAGTCTTGAGAATATCAAAATTGCATTTGCATCTAAACCAAAACTTTCTTATGTACAAATTAAGACAAATCACAGTGACCAATACCGAGACACTTGGAATCAAGGACAGGCACAGCCCTGGCTTCTTTTGCTACACAAAATGATGCCCTTTAGCATTGAAACTGAAAGTACAAAACCTGTCTCTTCAGACTTCAGTGAAAAAAAGGCAAGTCCTTGGTATGCCACTTTAGATTCTGTAATGTTGCCAGTACATACATGTATGCATACAGTTCCTGTATTCCGCCATTCCAAGTTACAAATATTCCAGAAAGAGTTTGATAATTTTGAGTCTTGTTGTTAGGCTGCACACATCAGTCTGGTGAGTTTAGGCACAGATCCCATAATTGAGATACTTGAGCATATATCACATTATAATGAATTGTTGATATGGTGATAGTTTGGATAGGACTCACCTGGCAAGTCAATAAGTTTCTTGTAGACAGAAAGAAAGGAGGCCTCTGCTGCCTTGCTACGCTTGGATAGGGCATCAATCTCTGATTGGAACAGCTTCAGGAGGGGTGCCACTGACTTGCGGATATCCTACATGGATGTCAACAAATTCCATTTGCATTTACAATAATACAGAAGTATGTACTTTACTTATACACATACATGTTTCTGCACACAGCCGCTTCCAAACATCATAAAGTTACAGGTTCTGAAGAGGGTTCAAAATTATTATTACAATCACTTAGAGTACAAACATGGTTCTTTTTATTTAAGACTTCAAGTTTCCATCAAATTCAATTTATTACTGGAAATTCAACTTCATTTGCTATATTTCACACCTTGCCTTGTGTTCCGCATTGGAATCCCACCCAAGCCAACATACATGGATTGAGTTTTCAGTTCCTTCCTGCTTTGCCATGAATATCATTTTGGGGTTTCTTCCAACCTCTATAATCCAACATTTCTTTATTTTCTTCCCATTTAAAGCTTTTTTTCAGGTAAGTACATGTACATTGCATTTTTGAGGAAGCAAAACAAAATTTGATAAACTGATAGATAATACCTACATGTAGGAGTAGGACTGAATATCAATGACTTACATCTGGAGTGTTTTTCTTGAACTCCCTACTCTGTTCCACCAGTCGTTTTCTTGATGTATCACTCTCATCCTGTCTGCTTGCTAACTCAGTAGCAGTTGTGTCTAGCTCCCTCTGTTGAAAGAAAAAAGAAAAACGAAATAAAACCTTCTGAAATAAAAAAGTTTAACCGTTAAGTTTTTTTCAATCGGTACTTACATTTTCTTTCAGCACAAATAAACAATTATATGTACACATTACAAAATCCACCCTACTCAACAATGCCCATACTGTACACTCCACAGAGAATAATATCCATGTATTGTACACACAAAAATTGCTAATTTCATTTTGAGTTTTCCATCTTTCCAAATCCTGAAATACAGATGCTGCCAACTTTTTGCTGAATTTTGCAGAAATATACCGGTATGTACAAATTGTACATTGTATGTTGCCGGTAAAGTGTTGATGGTAAAGTGTTCTGCAACGCTATCCATGCAAAGACTCTAGTGACCAAGTCTCAATTTCATTTGCCAATTAGACCTCCATCTAATATGTGTATCCAATTCCATCTGCAACATTTACTGAGGCACAAGAAGTCAAATTACCTGCTGCTTAGGCAGATAACAGACTTGTTAATTCCAATCACAACCAACTGAACCCCGGATAATTCAGCTAGGATTCACTCACTGATCTGATTAGGCCTGCTTGCTAGTATCACTGCTATTGAGAGAGGTCAACTTCTCGGCTGATAAATAAATCCTCTGAGAAAAAAGTTGTGTCCTTGATGTTTAATTTGATAATAGAACAGTGCTACATTACCTTCAAATAGGAGCAAAAAATACTATAATACAGAAATGTTTTACAGTAATGCAGTGCATTGTGGTATCCTATCCTGTAGTAGTATACCACTAGTGCATTTGGAGTTGTGGGCATTTACCCCAGCATCTTACACTACAGGTACACTTGTCATGCTGCGCTTGTGGAGCCCTAAGACACAACAGTACAGTACCGGTATCTCAAATCAAATTTTAGACTTTCTTTGTATACCGTCAAGAAGCAAACAAAGTATGAAAAGGAAAATGTGTTTAAAATACTTTGGATAAAAGTTAAACAAGAGCATGTAAGAACTGCATGTATACGTACGAATTTAAGTTTGGTACACTAGTACTATCTATACATTCGTGTACCCATTCCTGTGTATCTTTCGTTCTGATTGCTGATCACTCAATTATCTTGTACAGTATGTCCCTAATCATGTATTGAAGACTAACATTTTAACAAATAAAATGAATAGGTCTGCAAATACACACGTACATGTTCATTGTATATGGGTCATTCCACCAGGTTGGGGAACAATGTGTGACATATGACCATATTAATATGAAAAACATGAATGCCTTGCTAGCAGTTACTCTACAAAATATTTGTTGTTGGTTGGGTGTTTCACTACTGCAGAAAGTTTCAAATCATTTCAATGTATTTTGCCAAAAATATGAGCAAAAATTGTCATTTCCGACGTAACATTGACACCGTGTCAATGTTATGTCCATATGACATTTGTACCTTTTTCTAAATTTCTGTGAAACATTACCCAAATTCACTATACATGTACATGCAACACAATACGAAAAGCTTTTGTTTTGGTAGTCAGGTAACAAATGGAGCAGAAATGATAGCTTGGTTGTGGACGTAACATTGACACGGGTGTCAAACCCAAATGTCACACTTCTATTGAGTGATTTTGACACCGTTACATCCACACTTGAGGTATTGCTTCTGCTATATTTGAGCCCTGACTTTACCAAAACAAAAGCTTTTCTTGGTGCATTACGCGTCCAGTTATAAATATGCAACATAGTTTGGGTAATATTTTACACATGTACATGTACGTGCGTGTAAAAAATGGCCAAAAAAAAATATTTGGATGTAATTACGTCTGAATTAATACATTTTTGCTCATATATGGATGTACATGTAACATGCACTGCTTCCCAATCTGGCGGAATGACACATACATATACATGTACATACCGGTATACCCATTGAATTGGTAACTTTCTCAAACCACTTCTGGAACAAAAAGATTGTACGTACCGGTACATGTACCACATCCCCTCATTAAATGCCCAACAACATTCAACATCAATTTTTGTGTGTTTGAAGCTTTTTATTGATTGAAAAATTGATCAGAAAGAAGACACCGTTAATATGTAGCAGTCAATAGCAGTTTGTGACAGTGGCTGAGCAAGATGTGCTTACTACAGAGCTCTTGGGGGCAGCTGCATAAACAATCAAGAGCTAGCTATGCATTACTGAGGGAAATAACACTCACTGCTCAGGCAAATCAGGTACAAGGAAGGCAGGATGAAGAAATTGACAAATACATATGGTGACCCCTCCCCCGACACGTAATTTTAAAAGTGGCAATGGGGTTTCTTGTGAAAAGGGTTATTTTATCAAAGTCAATTGCATTTTTATCCTGTTGCTTTTCAGATTTTGTTTTCCTATGTTTCTGTGAAGTTTTGATGGTAAAGCATATACACAAACAACATACCGGTTCATGTGCTCGCATACATGTATATATGACATTACATTTCCAATTCACTGGTAATGGAGTAATTGAGAGCTCATAAGAAAAATGCAAGGTGACTAGGCAATTATAAATTGTTTGTGAGGTCCTTGAACCATTAACATGGAAGGTTAGAGACTGGGACCCCAGGTACTAGTACCTTTCACACCATTCACCATATATGTAACAGTGTATAAATGGAGGCTTTATTACAGAAATGGACAGTTGGTTGGACTTGTGGATGGGCTTCAGATTTTCAACATGTACAATATGTACATGTATGCATCGTCAACAGTAGTACAGGTATAGAATGTAAGGAATGGGAACATGCCTCAGACTCGGGCATGTCAGTGAGTCAATATTGTATGGTGCACATGTACATGTACATGTACATGTGCATGTACATGTAGTGACTGAAGCTAAACTGGCTTTGATGTATCGGGCATGTACCAGAACGTACATGTACATGTAGCAAGGAGAAACATCCTGCCTCCTTTCCTTCCATCTGCCCTCCCCCTTCCGCAAACGGGCGGGACCATGCGGGCCTGTTTAGCTTCTCCCTAGCATAGAACATACCCAGTAGGAAAGAACATACATGAACATGTGCATTTGCGTAGATCAACATACTTTTTGTACAAGTACCGGTATGATGACAATGTATACGTATGTGCATATACATGTACAATAATTAATATTTGGAAAAACGTCAGTTTTTGCCAATGCTGGCTGGCCGACCAGCGTTGGAAATTGATACAAAATGACCACTTTCCTTGAAAATGAGAGCACACCGGGTGCCAGGATTTTATAGGATGTTTAAGACTGTCCTAAATTTACAGTTTATTGAGGTATTTCATAATAATTTGGTAGTTTTGTTTTTTTATGTTTGCAAATGTTCCCTTTAAAACAGCTTTAACCCTTATGTTTCTTCTTAAAATGACATCATGAATATGGAAAATCTCATTAGCATAAAAATCTGAAAATAAAATTTAATGGAACACAAGGGTACACAAAATTTACAGATTACACCGGGAACAAATTTATTTCATGGGCCCTTTCAAGTTCTATTCATTGTACTCTGAGCAAAAACCTCTCCCCACATGTGCACAAATACTACAATATACGACTCTTTACTATGCAAAGCCTTGCAATGCATTCAAAAAAATAATATATCAAGATGTGCCAATTGTATTTTCCGTATACTTGGGCTGTCATTCAAGAAAGACCATTCAACTTCATGAAAGAGTTTTTTCCCTGGGGGCGGGGAATTTTTTTGTGGGGGGGGGGGTGTTGGGGTTGGGGAAGTTTCAAATGGTGTGATGTGTGAAACATTAGCCTCGGTCTGCCTTGTGGGCTTGCATGATTGATTGACTCCACTGAGTTTGTTAATTCCATGGTTGGGAGATCTATCCAAGATGGATTTAGTGAGGGATCAGGTGGCATTGGGTCCAGGAGTCTTAGGTTTCCTTGTCATCACAACATACATTACTCTGGATATTCCTTGCTCTATGTTCTGGGCACTTACATTGTTGGATTTCTTGAGCAAAATTTTTTTTAAAGAAGTTTGCGGAGCCTTACATATCAAGAGTGTTACACATGTAAAAGATAATAGCGTGGTATAACAAAACAATTGTTGTCTGTTGTGATATACATGTACATGTAGTCCATAGGTTAAGAGGCTTTTGCACACCTGGAGCATACAAAACGCTGTGGACTACATTGTACATCACAGGCTCCAGCAGACAACTGTACTGCTCTCCTTTTTCTTGATGCAGCAAACATACATGTACATGTACATGTACCCAGTCTGCCTTACATATCAATGGGTAAGAAGGTGTGATGAGTTTAAATCTTACCCAAGTTATGTGAATTTGCTTTATTTTGCTACAGACACAATGAAAGCAAAAAGGTCACAGATACAAGTGCAACAGAACCTACATGTACAAGCATTCTATTTGATTTCAACTACAGACCGACTACATGTAAATGTCCATGTACTTCTTCCTTCAAAAAGGACATGGTGTAATACACCGAAGGGGTTAGATGCACTGTACATTGTGGATGATGCCAATGAACTTTTCTTTTCTGCAGACTGGGTTGATGGATGTCCAGTCATCAGAGAAACGACTGCAGGAAAGTTTGGTCCACCATCAAATCTGATGGGTCATCAAGACTTGTCACTGTATATCAATCTCAAATATGAAAATCTCATCAAATGAAAACTATTCATGTTTTTCTGTGTTAACATTGTTTCTGGCCATGCTCACAACATCATTATGCTTGTAAAGATGTTCTGTTGGTGCTCTTCGACAAATCCATGTATTGTCTCCCAAAAGAATTGTTTTCCTGATATATAATTTGGGTACAGTATACATCTGAAACCCTCTCATAATTCTGCTGTGCGAGTAGACTGGTCAGCATTCCTCACATGAATGATTCTAAAAGGGGACAGGAACTAGTTTTTACTTAATTTTTCATTCAAAGTGAATACCTATTGTATTTATTGAAAAATGACAATTCAAAAACAAAACCTTAAAAACAGTCATAACCTACAGCCCCAAAACAT